ATGCCGGGCCCAGAGATTCAGAGAAGCCCGAGCCACTTCTATCTTTTGAGGCGCCTGGCCATAATAAAAAAATGATGACACATGAACACAAAATATGACAATCCCAAACGAAATGTGAAAGATAATTTTAATATTTAATATGTATATATAATTTGCAGCTCCAAGCTGAGAGTGTGTGTGTCACATTTTAGTCTGAGTGGGAGGCATATGAAAACAAGCCGAGAAACTTAACAAATGCAAAAAAAATAACAAGTGTCGAAATTTGAGGTCCCCTTTGAACTTGGGGCCCAGGCCAAATGGTCTCTCGTCCCCCCCCCTCTAAGACTATGTATCAGTTAGTCGCCAATTTGGATGGCGACTAGTGCAAGCTGTACAATGTTCTGATATCGCCAAAATGGCGGTAATGAAATAGACATGTACGTATCAATACTACCTCGTCATTCACACGATGACCGTCAAGGCTGTTTGGAATATGCATATTAATGTGTGTATTGTCAAGATGGAGACCGCTATAAAAGTTATTTTCCTGTTCTTGCATACCTTTAAAAATTAATCAGTGCGTTCCAAATATAAAACTTAACGCAGGAATAAGTTGAAAACAGTTATAATGTAAAAATAAGCAATTGAGTTTCAACTATCCTTCCAACAACATAATAACGTTCCGTATGATTGCTTATTGTCTCTTCATAGTATATTAATAATTCGAATCCCCAGAAATATAACCATCTTTGTTGGCTTGTAATCTTCTATTTTCCTTCTTTTTTGTTATTAAAAATACACAAAAAATTAACATTCGCAACATGAAATATTAAATAGTTTATTTGAACTTTGTTATCAGTTGTGTGCCACGTAGTAGAACTATATTTTAGGCAACTATACTCTTCGTAACTTGATTTTAGAAAGGCAACTAAAAATCAACTATTTCAAATAACTCGGCTTCTATTAATTCTCTTATTATCTATTGGTTGTCGATCCACAAACAATAGTTTTCCACTTATTCAAAAAAAATTGGTCCTTTCAGACCAAAAGCCGAAATGAGAACGTTGACGACAATGACGAGAAAAGCTAAAAGTATGATAAGATTGTTAAATTTTTCTGCCCTGTTCTGTTCCTTGCTTACATTTACGTTCCAGCGGCCAATGACAATCAGTATAACCCCAACTATCACCTGTAAGTATAAAAATAAAAAAAAATAAACATCTATTTAAATAATAATTTCAAAACCCTTATTTCAAGATGAAAAAAACAACATTCAATAATATGTTATTATCATAATTTTAAATTCAAAAACGTTAAAAAATCAGCAAATATTATAAATGTTTTCTTACCGAAACCACTAGGCATCTTAATATTGCTAAAATACAATGTTACAATGTTAAAAGATTAATGTCATTTCTACTCGCGAGGAGATCAAGGAAAGCTGACAGTTCTTATCTATTGTCGTTTATATGCAATATTTTAACTGACTGAAAAATTCAAGGTATTCTAAATGTGAATATAATGTTTCTATTATTCAGTATTAAATTATATGTTAAAATATCTTAATCATAAGCCATGATTTAATATTAGCCGCTAGGGGGCATGCTGGGAATTACTTAGTAATAGAATTACAGTCGTAAGCAAGTAGCATTTGTGGAATGATGGGTGATCTAATTATTTTACTTGCTTCTAAAAAAGAATATTTAGTGCACGTAAATGACATTTACCGCATGTGCGTGAGGGAGACTGTTATTAAAACACCTACCGTGACCTTATGTGCGTGTGTCTCATGTGATACTTTTCTTTTGTCTTTCTTTGGTTAGAATTTTATGGTTTGCTTTGAATTTCTTCGTGTGTATGTAAAAACAAAAGTAAAAATAAAACATAACACAAAATAAATACCATTGTATAAAAAAATGTCTGACTTACTAAAAATCTAGAGGCAAGTTATATGGAAGATCATGTTTTATACTATATATTGAAAAAATTAACATTAATATGGATTTATTCTTTGCAAAAACTAATTACTAACATGTATTACATATTTTATAAAATTTAAAAGCATAAAGTAAAGAACAGTAACTCACAGCCATTTTAAGTGTCAGAAAAAATTTAAAACAATTTTGACAAAACATTGTAGTATTTGAGGCCTATCCGTGTGATAAATATGGTTGGTGGGACGAGCGGATATGACGTAATTATATGGTAATATAGATAATGGGTTGAATATAATATAGCTACAGTAAAATGTTTATACTATTATTCTACATGTTTTCACAGTAAGACTATAAACAACTTGTAGTCATGATAACATAAAAGTCTATATTACGTCACTTGTTTTTACTGTTTTCTTTTACTACAAAAACAGATCGTACGTTTAATAAAAATGAATTAAAATTTTTTCTCTGACCTACCTGCAGTGTAAGAGAAAGTGAAATAAAAAACACTGCTGCTATAAAATATTCATGGTCATCAGGGTGACACAGCAGGTGCTTTAACTGTGCTGCATTAGCTGTTAGTAGAGCAACGTCCATCAGACCTTGGGCCACTGTTTTCCTCGTGACGTACAGGTTCACATCCATTGACATACTGCTGGTGCTGCCATCTTCAGCTAGTTTCTGCAAGATCGGAACGACATTTTACTGATGTCGTTTTTAGCAGCTGTAATTACATATCTTTATCTAATCAAAGATTAAATCAGGGAAGAAAGTCACACTGATATAACAATACATCAAACCAATTAAAATAATTTAATTAGCTTGCATTGTTTAAATAAACGAATTAGTAAAAAAAAGAAAGACTAATAAATATAAATGCTTTTCTTTGATTGGTAAATTTCGCGCAAAGCTACACGAGGGGTATCTAAGCTAACCGTTTCTAATTTTGAAATGATAGACGGAATAAAAGGCAGCTAATCAACACAACCTACCGCCATCTCTTGGGCTACTCTTTACTAACGAATAGCGGAATCGACAGCTGAAAGGGTGAGCATATTCAGTGCAGGGATTCGAACCCACGACCCGCAAATTACGAGTGGAGTGTCCTAACCATATAGTGATTTAATTTTGAATATTACACTGAAATGCTGACATTCAATCATACTAGATGTTTCATACGCTAGATGAATACTAGATGAATACATAGGGAGAAGCTAGAGTATCACTCGCGTTAGGAGACATATTGGACTTATCTAATTTACAAATGTTCCGAGGGTTGTTCATCTCTGGAGGAAAATTTATATCGCAAACAGCTTGTGTTAATTTTATACACTAAAAACAGACAACAACGAAAATATTCCATATGGAGTGCTACTTGTGTTACACCCTGTACTTACCTCCCCGGCAGACATGGTCTCGTGTGAATAATTCAGCTTACAGTTGTAGATATTTAACTCGGAGTATAACCAGAAGCTAAAAACTTTGCTCTTGATAACGTCTGGCTTTCATGTCTAATTCGTAGCTCGTGGTGCATGCTTGTTAACGTCACTGTGTTAATCGTCGCTCTTCTCTCGGGTCTTTTGTTTGTTTTACATTGTAGTTCTTGGTGATGTCACCACTCTCTACACTTTGTAAAATACTCATTACAGTCTACAATAAGCTAACTTGTATCTTGTTACACTGTAAAATAGCTGATGGTACATAAACTCTCATAATTATATGATTAAAAGACGTCTTGTGCAACTATAGTTTTAATCCTAAAATCTGGCATAAAATATATCAGCAATGAAATCTACTGAGTTAAGGTCTTTCAAGGTCTCTGTGTCTTTGGTTAATCAAAATGTATTCCTAAATTTAGATGATAATTTGGGTTTCACATGCGTGTGAGTGTCATCCTTGTTACGTTGGTTTGCATACAAAGAGTCTGATAAAAGAAACTACATCTTGCGCATGTATATCATATATTGATTATTTTCAGTTGGCGTATCAATACATTTGTGTGTGTTAATGTTAGATTATTTTAAAAATTTCCCCACTGTTTTACTTTTAAAAATAAAATTATGCTACTTGTACTTAACAATACTCTCTTCGGACGTTCTTTACGTTAGCTGTATCGAAGAGGAAACCTAACCAACAAATTGGCTCCTTGCCAGTCTGAGAGAAAATTCAATTTAACGATTTGAATAGCTCGACAAAGGATTTCCGGTGTTATTATCAAACCCTGAACATTTATGTTCTGGAAAATGTAAAAATTGTTCACAAGATATCACACTACAATGTTTCATACCCTCTTCTGACACCTAGTGTATAAGCCACATAAAAAATACAAAAACTGTGGAACTTCACGTTGTTTGTTTTTATAAGATATCGTTAAAAATATGTTGATTATTCAGTTCTACATTTAAAGACTTTATTCTTTACTATCCAGGTATAACTCGTTGTTATTTATATTTAACTTTAAACTTAAAATTACTTAATTAAATGATGTAAAATGGTTTGAGCTCCAAGGCTGCTGATTAACTTAATGCATTAAGTCTAGAGTTGGATTATTTATCACGATGCTTTCCTTATCTGTCAAATGTCGAGAGATTTTTTTTGCTTATCGCTTATTAGCTGTTGGTGTTAGATATGAATACTTCTCCGTGTCATTAACAGCTCAATCGTTCATGTACAGAATTACGATGTTGTGGTGTTTTACACAACTCTGATTAGAAATACACAAGGGATTAATTACGAGGAATTTAAAGAAGCAATATCTGCAGTCAAGTGTGATTCTATACATAGCCATACTTTTGTAGTATTCTCAGATCAAATTGGTTTCCGGACAGGCTTTTAGATAGAATAACCCTCGAACAACAGCAGGTTCGGTCCAATAATTTAAGATAAATTGTGTGAACTAGTCCGAATAAGAATTCTCTTTAGTGTGAAATAAATAAAGGAACAAACTATTATTTTGACAACAACAACAACAAAAAAAAACAAGTGATCGTACCCACTTGGACGAACTCTTTTCATTTCTAGCTTGTGTTTACCTTTGCTGTGTCTTTTTCTTTCTTTTTCTCAATTTCTGAAGCCCAAAACCAAGCACCATTATCTGAAAAAAAAAAGGTGAATTCTCTCACAAGATCAATTAGTGGAGAACTGAATTAGAAATCGCTTTTAAATTTAGGATGAAAACTCAATTTCTTTGCCTATGTGACATCCATATCTCATGACCCCTTGTTCTTGGACAGTATTGTTCGACTTCTCCCCTCTCCCTGGTTAACATCATAGTCAACCAGCAAAGTGAATTTCAACATGATCTAGTTTAATCCAGAATTATGATCATAGGCTAGAACATTCCAGCGAGTCAAATAGACTCTCTCTCCTAAGAGAACAGAGAAACGAAACAACTAGAACAAAATACAGTTAACGACTTTTTTGGATCACATGCAATCGCCATGACAGTGCAAAACTATAATAATTAAAACTTAAAAATAATTCCATATTACTAAAAGTAGGAAGCTCATGGTATGCAGGCATATCACACTTTTAAATTCACCATCACTTTATACATAAGTAAGAATCTAAGCGACATCTGTTGACACGGTAGAAAAATATCCAGAGTTGTATCTTGAATGTCTGTCAGATAAAATGTTCTTTTCCGCAAGGTATTGCGAACTACTCCCGAACTATCATCGCTTTCACTTTACTAAAATCATCCATCAGGTTTCAGTATTAAGATAAGAACATGCAGGACAAAATACTTTCATGAGGTTTTACACAATATCAGCTACTTGAATTATTCGAGCTTCTAGGATCACCAATTAAAGTTTTTTACTCTTAATTATCCATTTAAGTTGTGAATTTCGAAAAATATTTTCCCTATATATATGTTTTTCTGTGTGAAATTTAATAACATATAATGCTAGATTTACAGATTTTTTAGCTGTATTGTTCCTACTCCTTTTTGTTTTAATTTGATTTTTTTTCGTTATGGATCACATAACCAATTTTGATTTTATCTGAGGTGTCGACAAAAAGTGTGTAAGAACAGGTATCACAAAGAGTTGAGTATTAAAACTTTTTCTAGCGACGGTTTTCCTGACGATTATTATTAGGATGTGTTAATAAAAAATAAGTTAAATCTGAAAACTGATTATTGGAGATTTGTTTTTCAGTTGATTTAAGCTTCAACAAATAAGTATATTTCTTAAATGCATTATACAATAGTTTAACAATGGTTTAATAAATAAGGACAATTCTTTAACATTTAATTTCTTTATGTTATTGACTACTTTTAAAAGTACATTGATTACTCTGATAAAAGTTTATGTAGACTAATAAAGATAAATATCAGAAATATGAAAGCTCAAAGAAACTTCTTAACGCCATCTACTGGAAACTGTAGATTTAATAAAATAAATTTCATAATGATATATTTTATGATAACTTATTTGACAAAATACTCTGATAGATAACAGTTGATCATCTGTCAAATTTCTTGTTTCAATTACACTGTGAAAAAAAAAATAAACTTAACGACTGTTACCACACTTAACAGATGGCGCCACAATATTTCTTTCTTCTTTTTTTCACCATGGGAACAACTATATATTGTCACAAGAATAAGAATTGTAGTACTTATTTCTCATTTATTTATTTTAATTACAATTTAGCTGAGTTTAGCACTGGTCAAAAAGCACAGGCTTTCCTCCTCCAACGACGTAGTCTCGTCGTAATGTTTGCCAGTGTCCAGCAACAACAGGTAGACAACAATCACTTTCATTTTATATCTTATTATTATTATTATTTTATATTAAACACTGAGCACCTATTGTAATAAAGATTATTTTACTACTATTACTTCTACTGCTGTTATACGCTTAATGAGTTTGACACAGGATCTCGTCCCTCCAATAATCACATTAAAGTTCTACTAGTAATAATGCCAAATTCAATTTGATTTAAGTAGCATGTACTTTCTGCACATTACTTATGCCCTTATTTGACGCTTATGCTTCCGCCCTCTTTCCTCCAGTTAACCAGTGTGACCTCGGTTCCTTCTTGTTTTCCTGTTTTCTCATTCTACATGCTATTTGACTGACAAAATCATTTAGTGATCCTATCAAGTGGTCCTCTTTCTCATTGAATGATATGCCGGTTTGACCTGGAATATAGGTCATTATCAGATAAGCCTTCTAGTCTCTCAGAGTTTTACCTATGTTCTTTGGACAAAACCTGCTTCAAATTCCGTGATGAGGTTTAAGGTGTCTGTCAAGAGTTGATCTTGTCATTATCTTCACTGTTACTGGTCAACTAGTCCAGTGTGTCCTTGTATGCTTAACATTCTAGTCTGAATAAACTGAGTCGTCCAGTTTTTGCTACTGACCATGCAGTAACGTTTCTCCTGACCGAGTCATCTGTTGTTAAGATCAGTGTTAGATTCAGCTCGTATACCCATTCCATAACTTTGATTGCCTTGACCAGTGCAGACTTTCCCTTCACATCTTATTGCTAGTATTCATTGTGTTTGATTTAATGTCATTTGCCTGGGCCCACTTAATGCTCTTGATGTTTTCTAGTTGTTATAAATATAGGACTTTCTTGTCTTTAGTGACCCATGACTGGACGTTATTATTGCTTTGCCTGCCTTCTATTTCAAGTGCTGGTATAGTGGATAAGATCTAGTTGTTGTTGCTCTGAGTAATATCTGGCTGGTTATAATCATTTGTCATATAGTAATGCTACTCAAATGAAGCCAAAAGCACCACGCTACATGGTGCATGTTTGTCTGGCTGCTTCTGTTACTTTTCTCGTGACTGCACTCTTCACTCTTTGTAACTTGGCTTTCACTAAATTTGTTACTGGTGTACACGAGTAGATTTCGTAATAAATTCTGGTCATGAATGTTGTATGATGAGGCTCCTTTACTGCACGTTTTGGTCTCCAGCATATTTCAGAAAGGTTAAACTCTTCAGTAATTTCTCTCTCTCTCGGGTGATCAGAATGTGACAGTTCTTATGGGAACTCTTCTGTTTGTGTATATTAGCAAGAAGAGAGAGGTGTCTCTGTGAGATCTGGAAGTCAACAGCCAACACGCTCTATCTGTTCGATGGACATTTTATCATCTATATTCCACTGTACAGGCTTTTTCTGCTTCTTGCAGGCCCTCCACTATTTCTACTGCAGTGTGCTAGAGGCTTGCAACAATTATATTGTCGACATATATATATGTATATGGGGGTCACTCCTGAGTCATCCATTGCACTGGCCAGATCAGCTGTGTGTATATGTTGAAGAGAACATGACTGGGGATTCTAGTGGCAATTTCAACTGGCAGTAATTACTTTTTAGCATACCCAATATCTATTATATGAGAATGTCCGACATTCTCAGAGATTTTACCTTTGTTGTCAAAATGCCAATAACCATTTAAATGTAGGCATCTTCAAGGTAAAGTAGCACAACAGCACAGTGCTGTGATGTGTGCATATATTGCTGGGTATTGTGTGTCGTTGACTCGACATTTGAGGTTGTGGATATCTTTGGTCTTTATCTACCACCTTGGTAAGCGAACGAATTCTTCCCTCTGAGTCTTGTACAAGTGTTTTTGATGCTACCTTTTCCATGAGCTTTAACCATGTATTGGACATTGCTATTAGTCTATGTTTCTTAAGTGTGCGATGATGGTCTTTGAAGGACTTGGAAAACAATGACAACGAGTATTCTTTGAGGTCCTTCTCTATTTTACCCCCGTCTTTGACCAATTAAATATTTCAGCTAGTTCTGCTTTCACTTCCAAGAAGAGAGTTTCGATTTGGCGGTATTTTAGACCATCTGGGCTTGGTACAAAATCCCTGTTTATTGCTCGAAGAATTCTTTCCAACTCATCTACTGTCACTGACGATCCCGACCGTGGGTCAGCTCCCTGTTGAATTCTGTCATTTATTTCCTACTATGCCCAGCTCGGGAGGGTGGGGGGGGGCTTCTCCTTTTCTTGTAGCTGGCTGTTATGCCTCTTTAAGAAGGCTTTACATTTTTCTTCATCAGTTCTAAGACACTCACTGATGGGCCCTTAGATATCCCGTGGCCACACCAAACATCCATTTGATATTCTTTGCATAATTTCTGCCAGTTTCCAAAATTGGTTCTGTATACTGGAATCTGCTGGATCACGTTGCTGACAGAAATTGTATCTTATTGCATGCGTACTTCTCAAACCTTTCTTCTGGAATTCTGAAATAGTTTTAATGAATTCTGCTATCTTCTGACAAATTCCACGTTCTCCTTTAATACGCCTTTTGGCTTCAGTGCATGCTTTACTGTCTCCAATGTTCACTGTCCAGGCTTGCTCCACTTCTGCTCTTCCATTTGAGGATTTTGTGACTACTATACTTACTTTACTGACTCATTTGTTCTTTATCCACGACCATCCTTCATTTGTTCACGGTGGTTTTGGATCCTATACTATATTCGAAGCCGACGGTCTAAGTGGGTTTTCAAGACGAATCGTTATTGGTTACATGCATGAGTATGGACTTGTTGTCACTGCCTAATAAGGCAATAACTTCTAGTTAAATTCAAAAAATGCAGCAGGTGTAACAAGGGTAAGATCATTGCCTGAGTCACATTCTTTCTCTTTTTCCGTTATTCTTGTGAGGTATCGTTATTGGCTACTCTTTTTTTTATAATTTCCAATAATATCTTTAGTAAAGAAGTTACTAATACGTTTTTCTTCTGAAGCAAACAACAATTACTGATAGCAAAATAAAAAAAAAAAACGACAATGAGCACTTTAAAAACTGCCAGTGATGACCACACTGAAACTGAATGTTTTTGATAGATGGCGAAACAGGTAAAAGAATGAAATTATTTAATATTTTGTCGTTTATTTAGCATTACAATATAAAATTATACTTGAACAACAAACATTTAACAAAGAACGTTTGTCTTTAGTATATATGGATGAGGTGCCAACGACTGGGCTTTCGTTTTTTTTTATAATCCAAAAGAAATTCCCTAAAAACCGTTGATTTACGTCTCGAAACATGAGATAGGGAAGAAAACAGATATAGCATAATTCTAAAAATTCTGTTTTGCCCCTAATTAACACCCCCTATCTAATTATCGCCCGCCCCCGGTATTTTTATAAAGCTTACCTTGTGTGGCAGCAATAGTAATCCAACATATAATCCACTTTTATTACCGTAATTGTGATTTGAAAAAAAAAAAGAGAGAGAGGGAGAGAAGAAAACAATCATACACACACTTATTAGCATTGAAATCAACAAATCACATGTGAATAATAGAATCCGGAACTGCACAAATACTATAATTAGCGCCCCCGGCGGCGTTAATTAGGGGCAAAACTGTAATTAACAGATAGTCTTATACTTGTGCTACAGATAAAATATATATTGACTTAAAAGCTCAACTATTTAACTACAATAATGTGTTTTGTTGAAAAAATGTCGTTTTGTGAAAACTGTCGTCAAGTTAGATTCATAGTTCTTTGTATGTCATGGAATTAGGAGAATGATGGACATAAC